TGTACTACTGCCACTTTCAACGGAAGTTCTCATTATCAGCAAAAGATTAAGATACTAATCTAATCCAAAGAGAACCAAATCCCCTGCATGACGTTTTCATTGGTCTCTCTGTGCTTATACCTAAAATTCATTAAGTTTGGACAGTTTGCTGAAAGCATAAACTCAGTCTCGGTGCTTCGGTCAGAGTTTATGTAGCAGCCAGCTCTGGATACTGTCTGTAAAAGAGGTTTTCCACTAGGACGATGGGAGTGATCCAAGCATTTCTACATGATTCCACCTGTGTAGTATTTTCATTGTGCTAGAGGTTTCCATTCACATCCTGTGTCAAAAGGCTTTAACCTTTTGAGATTAGAGGTTATATATCAGTATGTATTGATATGTGTAGGCCATTGGAAGGAATATGGCTATACAGCCAGGAGAAACGTTTGGCCACAGCCACTTACATATAGAGACTGTAGAAATGTTTGCATTATGGTTCATGGTTTGACTGAATGACTCTGTTCTAGGCACATTCTGCTAAAGCTCAAGCAGTGTAAGTGTCACTGCTGAGAACAGTCTTCATCTGCAATGTGGTTTCTTACTGGCTGTATCCTTCCTGAGATGTGAGCACTCTTGGAGGTCAATTGGCATAGTGATCCTTACTTTTTGTATAGAAAATGCCCACAACCACATCCAGTTGAATGTGCTGAGGACCACTGCTTAGTCATGAAGAGTCTGAATGAATACAGGGAAAGTCCACGAAAGATACGATTTTGTTTACAAGAAACTCGATTTCTTCAAAATGTGTTGCTGAATGTTCTAATCCTATTCCTTCTCAGGAGTCCTTCTGATGTTGGACAGGTGAGGAGAAAATGAATTGATAGTGGATGCACTCTGACTGATATGCTCATGCATTGATGATCAAGTGGGCTGGAAGACAGCATATGCATGTCTTCAAGCATGCTATTGCTAGTTAAATTAAAAATCAGCTAATCTTGAGTGACAGGTTGTATGCAAAAAAATCTGGTAAATTTCTCTGGGAAGCGTGTTGGGAATAATGCATTTTGGCTTTCTGTTTGCAGGAGCACCAGAACTTTTACTCCAGTGATATGTCCTTGGGCTACCTAGTACTTTCTGTGAAGTATGAACAGGTCGAGAAACAGGAAAATCTACGCCTGCTGCTGAGGTAACAGTGCCTGTTGTTGAAGCATATGTCACTGTGCTATGTTTCTCATCTTACCTTGTGTGTGAATGTGGATCTGAATTTCATGTCTTTCTTCTGGAGAGGACCTTTGAGCCTTTTTTTTGCTTGCCTTCCCCTCTGAGTTGCTCTCAGCAGTCTCCTTCAGGAAGCTGAAGTGGTGCTTGCAAGTGCATCTTTATAGTACCTGTGTGAAATATATCTGTTCTTCCCTCAAATAGAAAGTTTTTCTGGTTCTTTTTTTTGTTGTTGTTTACTTAGAGACATGTGAGTTCTCTCTAGGAGAATATAGATTTC